GCTCTGTTGCCTGCCACACTGGCCCAGCTAGCAGATCTACAGGTGGTGTGACCCAGCTCCATCCCCTCACCTTCATCTTCTGACACGTCCAGAATCTCGTCTACAGTCTCCGGGAAGCTCATGCGGTGCTTATCACCAACTGACTGTGGGAGCAGAGCGGAGTCAGAGGAGGCCAGCCCTCTGCTGCGCAGCCACCTGCAGCCCCCTCCTCATGCCTCAGCTAGGCACCCAGCTGTCAGTGCTGGCCCTGCCTGCCCAGCTGCGCTCAGCAGACCTTTGCCTGGCTGCTCCCAGCCCCAGCCCTTCTCCACAGGGTCTTGGTCCCAGTCCCCAGAGGCTCACCGGGATGTCCGTTTCCTCTGTGACGATCTTGAGGACATCTGTGACAGAAATGTAGCCGAGTCGCTTTGCGATGGCCAGGGGAGTGGTGCCGTTCTGTGCAAGGAGGAAGGACTGGGTCAGCAGCAGCCACAGGGAAGCCCAGGCAGGCGCCCAAGCTTGCCATGGGGCGAGGATGTGCAGACGAGCACTATACTCACTGTGCTGATCTCATTGGGAGAGGCACCGTGCTTCAGCAGCAGTGTCACAACGTCTGTGTGGCCCTGCTGTGCCGCTTGGTGCAGAGGGGTGTAGCCCAGCTGCAGGGGAGGATAGAGGGTGCTGCCATCAGTTCTGGGAGTCTGCTGCCCCAGAAACGTCCCCAAGCCTCACACTGTGCTTCACGCCTAGAGCACGAGGGCAGCTCCCTCCTTTCCAGGATAAGCAAAGGGCTCTGCAGAACCTTGCACTTGCCCGGGGCTGTAGCTAGACTACAGCAGCTTCCAGCCATGGAGACAGGAGGGCTTGGAGCAATGTGGGGGAGCGAAGTGGAAGCAGGGAGGGAGATTAAGCCTTCCCCATCAACCTGCATGCCCTTGCCCAGGGCAGAAGGGTCCCTGGAGCACAGGACATCTCTGTACCTTAGTCTTGGCATTGACATCAGCCTGGTGCTGCAGCAAAAACTTCACCAGCTTGATGTTCCCGTAGTGGCTGGCCACGTGCAGCGGCGTATAGCCCATCTGAAAGACAAGATGTGGTCTCAGCCTGCCCTCAACAGTCCTTCCTGCCCTTCTGGCTTGGGTATGCTCATCCCATGGGGAAGCCCCCATGGATGAAGGATGGGGCACGTGTGCTGCCTGAGAGCCCAGGACCAGGGCAGAGGGCACACTGCAGACCACACCATGTTGTGCCTGGAGGGGACAGGGGTGAGCTGCGGGAGCAGGCAAGAATCATCCCTCCAGGGAGGTGGGGGAGGAAGAGTCCCCAAGACACAGACAAGACGGAAAGGACGTCTGTGAGACGGTAAACTCTTGCACAAAGAAAAATGAAAGCAATGCTCCTCCCAGAGCAGGCTAGAGGTAGTTCCCTCACGTTTTTCACCATAGCCATAGTCAAAGCACTACTTTACCCTGGTTGTTGCATCCACTGTGACTCCGTGTTTCACCAGAACATCAGCAACCTGCACATGCCCCTCTTGGGCCACAAGATGGAGAGGAGTCAGGCCACTCTGCAAACAGAGGAGGTCTCAGTACAGTGACAATGCCATCACTGCAGCTCTACCAGCAGAGACTCGAAGTCAGGTCTCCAACCTGGCAAACTGACTCTGTGCTGTTGGCTAGCACACTGCTGCCCCAGTACAGGGAGGCACTGGGGCCTGGACTACCACCTTGTCTGCTACTCCCTGCTGGGGTGTTCACTTCCAGCCTGGCAGGATGCACCAGGACAACATACCTTGTTGCCTAGGTTGCCGTTGGCTTGTTTGGAGAAAAGCAGTGCCACCATGTCCGCATGCCCCTCCTGGGAAGCCAGGTGTAGGGGGGTGACTCCCTGCACAGATTCCGCATTTGCAGAAGCCCCGTACTGCAGCAAGCTGCTGGCCACCTCCATCTGGTTCTGTTTGGCAGCAATGTGCAGGGGGGTGTACCCGTTCTGCAGGAAGAGAGAGTCATTGCAGTGCTCATGCAGACCAGCAGGGACAGAAGGTACCACCTTCCCTCTCCAGGCCAGGTCTGCCCTTCCGAGTTGCCTCCAGAGCTCAGGGATGCAGGCTCACACTCGAACCATCTCCCTGACAGCAACTAGCCCTGACATTGAGGCCAAATCCCGCTCTCCCAGCCAAGTCAACACAGGGGTTTCAAAGACCATCTGCTTCAGGTCTGACTGATAACGGCTGATATCCCGTCCTGGAGTTTTTCTCACATGAATTGCTACAGCAGTATTCAGCCACCTGGAGCTGTGAGAGGTCAGGGCAGACAGACACTTCCTAGAATAAGTCTGGCTGAGGCGTGGAGCAAAACTCACAATATGCAGGATTAGTACTCAGGCAAAGACTGCAGAGCCTTGAGCACTGCCTTTGCTGCCGCTGCAGAAGCAAAGCAGCTGGCAGACACCCTCTGCCCAGGGTGACGCGCAGGCTGTCAGTGACGCAGAACAACAGGGGATTGGCGCTGGTACCGGCTGCT